GACATAACAAGTACTAGCTTAGCGATCTCAAGAATCTTGAATTTTGATCTGACAATCGATGGTTTTCCATAAACCTCATAATTAAATTGTATTCTCCCTCCTCTTCTTTTTAATCTGTGTGCCGTGTCCCTTCTGAACGTGGACGATCATGGCTCTCCACAACTTCCTGTTTTTTTGTTATTGCTCAAAGTAACTTTTACGTCAATGTTCCTCATCTGCTATGTATTCACGCAGATTCATCATATAGTTTAGTCACTGTTTGCCCCTGATTCTCTTGCATTTGATATGTCTTGTCAGTGTTATGTTCTCCTTGCCTTCTTTCTTTTATTATATGTCGCAGAAATTCTAACTGTTTCATTCTGATTGTAAGTATACATTTCTTTATAATTCCTATTTGGCTTAAAAACTACCACGTTTCTCACGTGCTTCGTCTGTGGTATTCATAGACTTCGTCAGTAGAACCTTTTCTCTGTCTATATCTCTGAAATGAGGTATTATGATTATTTACATTATTCGGACTGTTATCCTCGTCTTCGTAGCCATAGTCAAAACGTTGTACTCTCCGGCGTAGAACAATCTACCCCAATGGACAAAACAAAAAGTTCGGTTCGAAATTCCAATCACCTGAAGAAGGCCTGAGAGTACAACGGGTGAAACATTGTTAATATGACAATGAAGATGAGGATAACAGTCCGAATAATATAAATAATGTAAAGAACCAGATCTCTGTTACTTCTGTTATTTTATTTCATCAATGAAGAGAATGCCTAGCAATTAACTGTCATATAGGAGATTAGACATTATACATCAATCAATTTTATTATTCTTCTGAATTTTTCATATTTTAATAATTTTACGTTTAATTTCTGGAAGGCATCTTTCGCTATTCAATGCGCCTTCATCGTCACGTTTTCCGTATTCTGTTAGCACACTAACCAGATAGTTTGGCTTTTGCGCTTGCTTCATTTTGACATCCCCAGTAATTAACTCACAACCTGGGCTGACTCTCCTCCAGCTAATGTCTAAACGGAGCAGGAGTGGCAGAAGGTTATCTACCAGTCGAGCTTGTGTGAATGAATGGCGGGGCGAGTGTTGGAAAAGAGAAAAGTTACTAAAAGTCACAACAGATAGAAAGTTGTGGAGTGTCATGATCGCCCATGTCCTGAAAGTACACGCCAGAGGAAGAAGTTTCTATAAGTAATTTCCTATTACTTTGTTTAATTTCTGGGAGGTATTTTTCACTAATTCTACCCGCCTTCAAACATTAGCGTCACATTTTCCGTGATCTCTCGCCACACTTTCCGGATTGAGTTTTGCACTTACTTCATTTTGTCGTCCCAGTAAGTAGTTCACAACTTCAGCTGTCTCATCGCAAAATCTATGAATGATTTCAATATTTCTCTTCAAAGCAGGACTTTATAGACACTGTTTTTAGCTTAAATTTTCTGTGCAGATGACAAATGAGGAGCCTTCATGATGAGGACCGAACTTACGAGTTGAAACTTCTTCTATGTGCTGTGTCCCTTTATGCTGTGCACGATCATGGCTCTCCACAACTTCTTTTCTTTGTGACACTTAGTACGTCTTGTCTTTTTGCTATGTTCTGCCAATAATTTGCACAACCTCGTTAGTAATAGTTTTCTCTGCTTTTTCATCCCATAGTCTTCAATGTCTTGTGTGTGTCAAATTCTCCAAGCACCCTTTCCTCATTATTTTCTCTAGATATTTTAACAGTCTATTTATGATTCTAAATATAAATGACCATTTTGTTTCTATTTTACTAGTTTTATAGTATCCTCATCACCCTTCTGTAGAACCTCATTTCTTTTGCTTCAAGTCTCTTCTTCATCTTTGAGGAGATTGTCCAGCACTCAGTGCCATATAGAAGGACATGTATTAGATAACTGTTCGTCACTGTTTTCTATGTTTCTAATGATATTTTTCTGTTTCTTAATACTTTGCTTAGCTTTTAGAGGGCATCTTTCACTATTCCAATGTACCTTTGGCTTTTGGTGTCACATTCTTCATCTTCAGTTAAGACACTTCCTAGACATTTAAATGTTAGTACTTACTCGATTCCGAAGTCTCCAGTTCGTAGGTCGTATCTTGAGCTGTTCCTCTAACCGACAACCGTACACTCTGCCTTAACAGCGTCTGCGACTAAACTAACCTGATGAAGAAGAGTCGATGTTTTCGCCATCTACGGTTCTGCAAGTGTTCATTTCATAGGTCTTACCAAGAGTAAGTGTTCTTCAAAAAGAGATAGAAAAGCGCGCCAATCCGCAGCTGTAAGCTGATTGGCTAACCTTAAACTGCCAAGGGCAGATAATTATAACGCTTTCTTCTATAAAGGTTAAATAAGTCCGGTAAGATGATGCATCCTTGTCTTGGACCTATTTCTGAGCATAAATATCACGAAACCCAGCGAATAATTAGTGGGATTAATTTTATATTATTTTACCGCCTTGACTATATGTCACATGCTGCTCTTATTGGCAACCAAATAAAACATACTATGACTGACACCATCTGTTCATACGAATGTATTTTGCCAAGATATTATTGTAATGTTTGAGTGACTGCAATAAACAAAGAAAACATTGCTTCCATACGTATGTGTTGGAAAGAACACAAAGCAACTACGTTTTTTCTCCTACATATTTTAGACTCTTCAGTTTCATATCTGTTGGTCCGTGCGCATGCGCGTTTGAGTGTGTGCTGGTCAAAAAACAAAGTCTTAAAGATTAGTTTGTTTTAGTATGACTGTTAAGTCAATCAGTACACTTTCTTACTCTAGTCTAAAACAGATATTTTTTTAGCTGTGTGCAGGTATATCTTCTATTTCTCTCTCTCTCTCTCTCTCTGCTTTCATTTTTTTTTCTTTATTTTTTCTTTTCGACGGCGCTCAGCATCTAAATGGACACTTCTGTCATTTCTAAGGAAATCAGAATACAGTTACGTTGCGTGATATATTTAACAGGAAGCAAAATAGATTCTTCTCAATCATCTTTCTTCTCTTGCTGTTTTTGTTTTCGGAACAGCCCATTACTAAAGAAAAAACGAAATTCTCTCCCATAAGTTTGTGTTCTTGTAAGGAACAAGAAAACATACACTAATATTCATCCGTTTGGATTTCTCTGAGCAAGAGATTTTCAAATCTTTTCTTTTTTTTTTTCTTTTTCTTCAAAATAAAACTGAATACAAAGACATATTGATTTCACTCTATGTGTTCTTTTTCTCTTAAACGAATGAGTGTGACGTCATGGACCATGTGAGCAGAGAAAACAGTATTAGTCACGTGGGAAAATAGATCTAATGGCTCAAATTTTCTTTTGTCATCTGTCAACCGGCAAAGGCAAGAAACATTTGGTTGAGTTGCCCGGATGATACGACTCGATCGTCCAACCGGAACGTCGGCTGCGAAAAAAAAAAAAAGACTCATAATGCAACTACCTCTTGTGAAACGGAAGTATTTTATGCAAATCTGTGCCCCAGATTTTCTGTCATAGTAACTCGTTTGCACCAATAAATGTTTCAGTTTTAATTTCTTACACATGAACGCGCACAGACCTACATACGCACACACACAATCACATATATACACACTCACACACATACACACACATATATATATATATAGACACACCCTTGTTCAAATTAACTGAAACAAAACAAATAATTCCGTCATTATTTACTTATTTTTCGTATTTCACCAATGAAACCTGATCCAGTGCATATGTTAGTACTTTTTATGTCCATTCCACAAAGTCGTTCCTTGCAGATTGGCCACAGATTCTCGATCGGATTTAAATCAGGAGAGTTTCTGGGTCAGTCTATAGTACTTTGATTTGCTCACTGGAAAAGCTTGCCAGTGTGTTCGTGCAGCGTTGCAATCCTTGGAGTAACGTCCATCGCAGACATTGACCGTAGGACAACTAATCGACAGTCGAGACAATAGTGTCTGGGCGTGATGAAAATCTGATGCAATCACGGATGACACAATATTTTTCAAGGCCAAACATCATACACCCTTAAAATACATTCATATTACTGCACACCACTGGAAATGACCTAATCTGAGAAAAAATAGAAATCGATTACACCCCGTCACGTCAGTGGGTTTGAAACTGACCGTATGGTGAAAGAAAGGAAACTAAAGCGTTTGTTTCAATAAATTTGCACAATGGTATATATATATATATATATATATATATATATATATATATATATATATATATATATATATATATATATATATATATCAAACAGCTCTAAGCTGTCAAAATTCTTCTCGGAATATCAAAAAAAAAACAACAAAGAAAACAGGACTGAATTGTTATGTGTTATCGGTCCTCCTATATAGCAATCTTCCCATGGATGAGGAGAAAACTGGAAGCGCCTTAAATGAATTATTCTGAAAATTCCATGAACGGATCGAGTAAAAGAAAGAACAATTATATTCGCAATTGGACTACTTAACCCTCACGGAGCCTACTGAAGGCAAGAGAGAAACGGCAAAGCAGCGAGCCACTTAGCTGACGAACTTATATGAATGAATGATGATACGGACTGTGAGAGCTTTCAAATGTAGTTAAACCTCAAAGGCTAAAGGCCTCAGAGGATTATTTGGAATGATGGCTCAACCAGCCATCTATATTTGAAATACTTTTACTCGTAAAATAAAACAAACAAAAGCCGCATGTAATCGTTAAACAGACAGATGTCCGTCATTCCAGACCAGATAATATAAAGTTAAGATAAATCCTTAATAACTCAAGCTTTAAGATTGGCATCAGTCGTAAACTGATCCACGATTTGCACCTTATGTTAAACATTCTGTTATCGTTCTTTCAAGCACATTTCGAAAAACTCGCATAGTCTGCAGGCTCCTGATGACGTAATAAGACCAGTAGAGCAAATGTTGTATGAAAACTGACACCTTTAATTAGGAGTAGGTTGAATTAAACTACTCTTCAACAGAAAAAGGAACAGGGAAGGGAATGGTCGTTGGTTATACAGGGTACGATGGAAATACGTTTCAGAAATACCTCCTAGGAATACCTCCCAAGAATACCTCCTACATATACCTCCCAGAAATGCCGCCTAGAAATACCTCCCGCATACACCTCCTACATTTACCTCCCACATATACCTCCCAGAAATACTTCCCACATGTACCTCCCACATATACCTCCCAGAAATACTTCCCACATGTACCTCCCACATATACCTCCCAGAAATACTTCCCACATATACCTCCCAGAAATACTTCCCACATATACCTCCCAGAAATACTTCCCACATGTACCTCCCAGAAATACTTCCCACATGTACCTCCCAGACATACCTCCCACATATACCTCCTAGAAATACTTCCCACATGTACCTCCCAGAAATATCTCCCACATATACCTCCCAGAAATACTTCCCACATGTACCTCCCAGAAATACTTCCCACATATACCTCCCAGAAATACCTCCCACGTATACCTTCCAGAAATACTTCCCACATGTACCTCCCAGAAATACTTCCGACATATACCTCCCAGAAATACTTCCCACATGTACCTCCCGGATATATCCGCCACATATACCTCCCAGACATACTTCCCACATATACGACCCAGAAATACTTTCCACGAAATGGTATACATTAGTGGCAATGGTGTTTTCATCTAGCTAATGTATTACCATTATATGGAAGGTATATCTTGCAGGTATATGTGGGATGTATTTCTGCTGAGCCCTGTGTTAAAATGTGTCGACTTTTCTCTTATAAACATGAAGAGAAATTAGAGAACATCTACACTACATCAAATATAAATTTTTGGTCCATCAGCAAAAGAAATAAGAATGTATCAGAAAATGTTTGATCAAAACCCTCAGTTATAGGAAGAAAACATATAAGCCGATTCAGATGCGTTTTTATCAAACGCCTTTCAAATGTATCCATGTATATGTCTGATCCCACAAATTTTAGCTTGAGGCACTAATTTCAATGCAGTCAGTGTAACTCAGTTCTTTTCTAAATTTTCTGCTATAATTTTTTAAAAATCTGATATATGAAACTAGTATGAAATTGGTTTGGCAACTGTTCAGAAACGTAGAAGTTTTTTTAACTGTAAACGTTATTTTTAGTAGGTACAAGTATTTGTGTTGCTATTCTTTTTTTAAGCAGTGAAATTAATGGCAACCGGCCTAGATTAATATTAATTTCACTGTTTTAATTAAGAAACTGGGATAGTAACTCAAATACGTATTCCTACTAATAACAATTACCGTAATAAGAAATAATATGAGATAAAACGTCCATTGAAAAATCTAGAAATGTTTGGCGAATGAAAGGAATCGAACAAGTTCGATCTGTTTATTCTACTGAGCATTGCTAATAAGAGACTTTATGCTCTGATCTTTGTTTCATTTGTAATTGTGGTCCAACAATGCTTACCATTCTCAGAAAGATTTTCCAAGAAGAACTTTATACGGAGTGAGCCAATTGGCTGTATTGTTGGAGATAACCTTTCTGGATGGAGAACGAAAGTATTTTTTTAGAATTCATCGAGTATTTTTGTGAGGCAAGTATGTTGAACAAAGAAAAGGTGAATCTTTTTGTTTCTTGACATTTACATATCTCACCTTAGCTTTAGAAGGTTTCATTTCTCTCTCTTCTTATTCTTCCCATCGAATTCCATCCCTTGACAGAATTCTCTTCGACTTATTGAATAAATGGTCCCTTTCTTACAATACATAAATGAGAAATAATCCTGGGAAGTCAATGACAATATATAACCTTCCTTCAAGTGTAAAGGATTGCTGACCCCGATACATTGTTTGTGCAAATATCATGAAGGTGTTTGAATTCACAAGAAATTGGTTTTTACAATTTTAACTTATACTAATTTTACCTAATTGTGACAAACAAGACATAAATAAATGTGTAGGTCCGCATGACGTCATGCTCGGAATCCAGTAACAATGACATCACCACTTAATGGACAAACTCACCTACGTGCTACCTATCCCCATGAATATTCTTCCAGAAAACAGAATCAATGGCGCAAGTGCTTCTGATGCAATAATAAGGCATGCAAGCCATCAAGATTATGATAAATTAGTGAAATACATTTCAGAGCAACATTATCGCCACTGTCTCCCATATGCCGTAAGAGCAGATAGATTAACACCGGGTGTCAGCAATTTTCCTTAGTACCTAAGTGAAAATATATACACGGTAGATCTTAGACAATCATCGGTTTTATCAAGATGTTTCGGAGATTTGAATTTATACATAGAAATGAAGAGTTAAAACAAACTCCAAACATAATTTCAAAAAGCTTTGGGTAATGTTGTGACATTGACTCCAACGTTATTTTACATTCGAAATAAAATAATCAAGTTATTATTTGTGAAACGTGCCGAATTTGAATTACTTCTACAGGAAATATTTCATTGTCACTTTAGACTTCAAACAACTAGACATTGCATGTTGCCATAATGGATCCTGAAGGTCTTAGTGAGGACAATACTTCTTTGAACCTTGTGGACTGGCACTACACATTCAGAAAGAAAGGAATATAGCAAAAACTGAAATCATTTGAAGACTTTCCATTAGCAACAACAAGTGAAATGGATAGCACATGAAACTCGAAGTTAAATTAATCAAAGTACTGATGTTCCACACTACATCGAACAAAAGGTTAGGAAAGAAACTCCCATTAATACTGGGAATATCTATAAGGACAACTGGACTTAAGAAACCTATTTTCCTTAAAACATTTTAATGGGAACATTTTATAAATTTCAAACAAAAGTAGCACTTGCTGCTCAGTCATTGAAAGCCGAATATTTTCCTATAAGAGAACGGTTAAGTTTGGCATTACCGCTATCATCAATACTGACAGTGCCGTTAAAATTAAGATTGACAGTACCCTTACCATTAACATTGGTTGTACCGTTACTATTTAGTGTGGCAGTACCTTTAGTATTATTGACAAGAAAGTATAATTTGGTCTTACTGTATATTTCAACCAGTAGTATTCTTGGCCTGAAGAGTATTGTCTTGAAGAGATTTGCTCTATACACAAAGCACTGCCCAGAATCCATTCAGGGAAAACTATAAAGAGACAATCAGCTGTTCTCACTGACAACCCTGAAATATTCACCTGGGGGGTGAGTAAAAAGATGTAGGGATAGCAGAGCAAGCTTCAGAAAAGACAAAAATGTTCATGGAAAAAGTATGAAAATGCGCCAAAAGCAAAATAAAATAAAAAGAAATTAAAGACACTAAGGAATCCACAGTGGGTGAAAACTTTTCTTTCTTGGGCGTATTACTTTATTATAATTCGAGGCCCGGTGGAAATTGAGAGAAGTATACATTTGGTCAAATGTGGCCACATGTTAAATGTTAATGTGGCCATATGTCAAATGTTAATGTTGCCAGAGGTTAAATACGTTTTAGAATATAAAAAGGTTTACTTTCTTCATCAAAACAGTAAATCAAATGATTCTGAATTTTACATTAGCATTCGGAATAAAATTAATAAATTCTTCTCTGGTTAATATTTTGCTACTGATATTTTGATATGTTTTTCCATTTTAAAGTTCTGTTTAGTGTTATCAATCTTATTGTTTTTTTTCCCAACTTCGATCTTATTACAAATCTTCATTAAGGTTCACTCACAAATGATTCCACTTGTCACTGACTGGCATTATTGAGCATCATTCAATACATCCAAACCAAAACTAATAATATTCCATCACCACTAAATAGACTCTAAAATAAACCTACATCAATATTTATGAGTGGACATACTTTTATGATTTATGAGTGGACATACTTTCTAGTGTCTCCTTGCTGCGAAACCCTATGGTGTCTAAAGTTCACTCCGGACCTAAAAGGGAAAGTAGAGGGTGTGATGGGAAATTGTCGCCATTTTATGTTTATGATTTCGCGCATGCCCCTTGTTTGTATTTGATTTTGTCAACTGCTCAGTATTGTAGTGTCAGCTTGGCCCCCTTTATGAGAAAAAGAGCATCATGACGCTATTAAATCCACCAGAAATTTGGAGACGGCATCTGTACTGCTTGGCATTCGCTCCAGAAGCTCTAATACGAACATTTCTGAGTGTTTGGGTGTCAATTTGAGGATTGTGTAGAGGTTTTGGAAAGAGTTGAATGAGTTTAATGGTGATTACGAAGGTACGGTAGGTTGGAAAACTCACTCTGATTGTTCAGATGAGAAATGAACCCCCGAATTTTATGGTGATGGCCTCAGACTCAACACGGAGACCTACATCAAGTGCCTTCGGGATCAATAAGGTGGCTGCTGAAAGACCCTGTCTCTGACAACAAGACTCTGCACCATGCCACACAAGCTGGAGAACCCAGTCATGGCTGTCAGACAATTTCTGCAACCACATCATCCCTTACATCTGACCACCTCAATCCCCAGACTGCAACCCCCTTGTGTTGTTCACAGTTGAACGGGAGACCGACAAAATTTTTTAATACACCAAAGGCAATAATTATGGCAGCATTCACGAACTTAAATGCGGAGACCGTCCAGGAGATTCTGAAGTCGTTTGGAGGCCGTGGTTGAAGGCCATGGCCATTTTATTGAATCAATGTACTCCGTAGCATTTCAAGATATGCTTGTGTAATTTTGGTAAATATATCTTTTAAAATGAGATATCAGTGTTATTTTCATTTTTGCTTAATTTAAACGACAATTTACGCATCGCACACTGCATATTCGTGAGATCGTTAAGTATTCTGGAAGAATGATCGATTTTTTTATCACTCCAGAAAATACTTAGCCCCCCCCCCCCACTGTAATGCACCTATCTTTACAAGAATCAGATTAGACCAAGAATAGAGTACTGCAGCTATATCTGGGCTGGTGTTGCGCAATCTTCACTGTCCAGCCTCGACATTCAAAAGTATTTACGCGACCTTGTAGGTGATGAATTATTCTCCATCTAGCGACACTTATCCCACAGAAAAAATGTTGCTAATTTACCACTGCTCTATCGGCAATACTATGGCAGATGTCCTGATAAATTACATTTCCTAGTTCCACTAGCTTAGACATTCATGGCTAAGACCCATCTTGCCATGTTCATAGTGGCAAAACATCCACACTCTCTTTTTGATTCTCTTTTATAAGGATCAAGTTCCACTCAGGAAGCATCTGTCCTATTTGCCTTATCGATTTAAGGACTGGGGAAAAAGGAATGCTATATTTAGGATCAGAATGTTATCAACATGATCACCAAAATAATAAATGAAATATACGATAATGGTGAAATACCAGAAGACCTTAGTAGATTCATCTTCGTAGTGCTACCAAAGAAGCCAGATGCAAATCAATGCGAGCTCCTTCGGATAATCTTTATGAGCCACATAACGTAGGTAATAATTAGAATTCTGGTAGATAGCGTTCAAAGCAGAATTAGACCAGAAATAAAACAAAAACAGTGTGGTTTTTCAAGGACACTGGAAAAGGGAATGCTATATTTAGGATCAGGAGAGAGAAAGAGAGAGAGAGAGAGAGAGAGAAAGAGAGAGATTACCAAAATCATTTAATAAGTCACGGTACAAGGATCTATTTGAACTACTAGGGAAACTTGATCTAATTGAGAAGACGTTAAAAGAATCC